GCGGTGGCTCCGGGCAAGGCGAACGTGACCGGCGGCCCCCGGGGTCCTACTTTCCCCTTCATCTAGTGTGGGCTATGTCCCTCAGCGAGGCAAGGCTTGTTGAGGTGGGCTTCCTACCTCTATCGGCTTGGTGACGGTGGAACGGCTCCGCCTCGGCCGTGCTCTGGCCATGGTGAGCGCGCTCGGTGCGCATGTGGGACGCCGGTGTTCCCGATCATCCAAGGATTGGCATGGCCACGTGAGTGTTTGTGAAGGTGCGCGTGGGTGCATCGTGCTCCAAGGTGGCCAAAGGCGTGGCCTTTGGGCCTCCCAAGTGGGGAGACCACATCAGCGTACATGGTGATGGGGACGAACGGTGAGCAGAGGAACCAGTGGGGCCCACCATGGGCTCGAGGTGGTAGGCTAGCGGTGCAGAGGCAAGTCATGGCTATGATGAGGTGAACAAGTGCAGGCAGGACCGCGATAGCAACGAAGATGAGCGGGCGTAGTCCTCGGCTCCGGCGGCTTCTGCTCCTCTCCTTCCTCCTCCCTTCTCCTTCTCCTCCCTTCACCTGGCTTGGTGTGGTAGGTGGATAGCCACAGAGTGGCGGCGAGCGATGGGAGAGCGCTAGGGCACCGGGGGTGCCCTCTTATAGGTGGCCACGGTCATGGCAACATGGTGGACGGTGGGGAGATGGGGTGGGCCATGTGTAGGGTGATCATGGCACCTAGGCTAGGGTTTTGGGGCGCGAGGCGAGTGCGGTGACCCTGGCGCCTCCAATTTTGGGAGCGGCGGCCGGTCAAAGGAAGGACGGTGGGTGTAGGGGCGCTGCAAGTGGCGCAGGCCATGGTGCTCGCATCATCGTAGGCAGGGGCATCAGCTGGGGCAGGGCAGGTGTCACGAATCGCCAATGTGGCGTGCGTCTGTGCCTTGGATCCGTTGCCAGCGAGATGCTCTGCTCTGTTTTGCAAAAGCAAAGAAGAGAGCCAGGTGGGGTCTCGCCTGGCAGCGGCAGCGCGGAGGGGAAAGACGAGGCGTGACGCGGGACGCGGCGTGGGCTGTTGCTTCGTCGCGGGCGTGGGCGCGCGAGCGGGGCCGTTGCTAGGCCACGCAACGCGCGTGGGCACGGGCGCGGGCGCAGGCAGGCGTTGGGCTGCGGTGCTGGGCCGGCTGCGGCGGGGTGCAGGTGCGGGAGGCTAGGCCCCGAGCTGGGCCTCGACGCAGGCTGCTGCTAGGCTTCTTTCCCTTTTCTATTTTCCTCCCTTTTTTCCAATTCCTTTTCTATTTCTATTTCTACACTACACCTAGGGCTTCTATGCATGTATACATGTGTTGCCAACATGTATACACCCTAGTGGGGTCCACTAGAGGTCATCTAGGGCTTTAGGGTCCAAGCCCAAGGTTGGCAACACACACAATAATTTGTTGAAAAGTTTGATTGATTTTATTGCATCACATAAAATCATGAAGAAGCAACTCACAAGTGGAATTAAAATACAGCAATGCTCAACCATGCTAATTTGGGTTCTACATGTGCAACTACATGGGTGGTTTCCTAGTATGCACACTCACCATGCATGGGTTTTGTTAGAAAAATTTTTAAGTTTAGATTTTTTGTTATTGAAAAACCTGGGTTGTTAAAAAAACAAACTAGGGCTTTCACTCACCTACACGACCGACACACCAAGACCGGCATCCTTGCATGCTCGAACATGTCTCGTCCTTGCTTGCCCCACTTTGTCCCCTAGTTTTATTATCGACCCATCATTCATGTTGGGAGAATATTTTCTCTAGTGGTGGCCTCGTCCCCATGTGTCTTCCAATCAAACACCAAAACAAAGTGGGATATCTTAACTCAGTGGCGGAGCCAAGGCCCAGCCACCCTAGGCCAGTGCCCGGGCTTACCTAGCAAATATCAATTCATTGCCATGGCAGATATATACGTCCATTCGGCATATGTGCCTTGCTAAGGCGCAGCCACACGGTTGACACAAAAGCTTCTTAAGTGTCGGTGTCCTCACCAAACAAGAACCACTGACCCAAACACAAACCACTGACCCAAACACTGACACATGAATGAGTGCTTTTGTCCATGTGCTCCATGTAACTTAGGCTACAACTGTCTTGAAGAATTTTATATTGATTTTCTTTTGGTTTTATTAGGTACAGATACGCATAGCTTACCTCATTTTCTATGTATTTTTTGTTTTTTAAAACCTTTCCTTCATAAAGAGTTCATCTGAAATAAACCTTTAAATTCCCACAGCAACATGCGGGGAACCACCTAGTTCATAATGATTACTGAGAACTAATAAGATGTGCTAATAAAAACAATACAATGTTAGGGGGTCAGGCCTGCCCGCCCCCCTTGTCTCTGCCCCTGCTCACAAATCTAATACAAATTATTACAAAACTATCACTGGAGCTATTTTTGCCAAATGTTTTTCAAAACGGCTTTAGCTCCACCAAAAAAGCTACTCTACGTGAGGAGCCGGAGCCACCTAAGAGGAGCCAAAGCCCTGCCAAACGGGTCCTTAGTATTATGTTGCGTCTCGCCCAAGCTCTACAAAAGTCCTGGCTCCACCGCTATCTAAACTTTGTCCATATTCCACCCTCAAACCAAACACACACATGACATGTGACAATCAAGGTGGGCCTAAACTATCGTTAAAATGTGTGATAGAGTTTAAATATTTGATCTCTAGTACTAACTATGATAGTTCTATCTGGACCCATTATATTACTAAGCAACTAATAATTAGCAGCTAGTAGAGGGAAACCAGCTAGTGGCCTTCTAGTAGTGAGGTTATTAGCTAACCTGTGTTTAGATCCTCCATCTAATAGTTACTAGTACTTAGCTTGAGGAAGTGTAAGTGCAATCAAGCCCTAAGTGGGTTTTGGTGATGTTGACCATAGAATTAACGGACTAATAGTTTTTACAAGTGTTTAACAGCGAATCATAAGTTATGGGTGCTAAGAAACATAGGAGGAGACCCCCAACTCAAAAGGATGGCTTGCAATGACTCAAGGAGCAAGATTACTTTGTTTTATACTTTGAAATTGAGTTATAGGACAAGTCGTACTATCAAGGGGGTACTAATAGAGTGCTGGGTGGAACCAAGTGCACAAAAGTCAAATCTCTATCCACATCACAAATTATCCTAGCCACAAAAAGCTAGATGATCTTCGTTCTAATCTATTCTAGCCTGCGTGGAACCTCCGCGTTTTGTCTGGTCGACCGTTTTGTGGGAGTTGAGGGGGCGGGGTATTTGTACCTTCTCCTCTCTCTCCCAACGGTCATCTTCTTCATTGACTCACTCATTTCAACTTGAAGCTTTCTCTCTCCATTCTTGTTGCTCCCAACTCCCTTGTTCAAATCTCGGTGATTCCTTAAGGGATTTGGCAAAACAGAGTGTCAGAAAGCAAGAGAAGATCCTTCTCCTCCATTCTTGTGCACTTGGTGAAGCCCTAGCCGCTTGATGTGTTCGTTACTCTGGGAGCTTGGCTCCTAGACGGCTAGCGGTCACCAAGGAGCTCCCAATTCATTGTGGCTAAGCACCAAGACGTTTGTATTACCCTTTGTGACTTAGTGGAACCCTCTAATCTATTGCTTTGGTGATAGGTTAGAGAAAAAGAGTGAGTTGAAAGAAACTCCATAGCCTTTGTGGCTGACCTCAACAACGTGGACATAGACAAGCTTTTGTGGCGAGCTGAACCACGAGATAAATCCTCGTGTCTCTTGTGTTGTGCTTGTTGTTGCTATTACTTGTGATTTGAATTGATTTTTAGGGTTTGCACATGATCTACGATTCCCTCAACAACTAGGTGCAACCACTTGCTTGACAGGAATGGCATACTTCCCAGGAAGGCTGGTATCGTATTCGATCTGATTTTCATTTGTTACATTACGCAGTAGATCGAATTTGTACTCTGATCTCGGAGGCTCCATGCTTTTTCTTGAAGGCTATGCAGTCTGCCAGTGAGCTTGAAGTTTGTTAAATTTAAGAAAAAGCCTATTCACCTCCTCTTTAGACGACTTGCTAGATCCTTTCAGGAAGCCAATTAATTACTTTTTATTAGGTAGGAATTTCATTTTGGGCTATTAGTTGGACTATTACTAGTACTTGGATTGAGGAGGCCAATTAATACCTTTTTATTAGTTAGAAATTTTATTTTGAACTATTAGTTAGGCCGTTTGAATCCACTAGTGCTACTGTAGCTGTATAAACAATTAGCACTAATAGATCAAATAGCCCAAAGAGATGAGTTGCATCTGCTATGTGGCTAACAGAAAAAAGATACGGGCATGCACTCTTGTCTCTACTGCGACAATACATGCGCATTGCTTTGTCTCAACTTTTATGAATGTGCAGCATTCAATTTTTTTAAAAACACTTAAGGTCTGGTTTGGATATAATCGGATTCACATCAATCTACATATGTTAGAGTGAAATAGGTGAAATTGAGATATATATGATAACATCCAAACAAGACCTAAGTATGTTTTTACAGGGTTTTCACGTTTCCACAGAATAGGAGGTTTACACTAAATATTTAGCCTATATAAAAAGGGATAAATGAGACCACTCTCCAAAGATAAATATTAGGTTTGGAGCATTTCTCCTGGAGAATCCCGTGTCTTAAGCTGTAAAAATTCACAAAGATTTATCAGTGTTGAGAATTAGGGAGTAGAGCTCTACCAAACAAGCCCACACTATCAATTCAAGCAATCATAGATTCACAACGGCGAAGTTGACGCGTAATTGCGTAAAGGCACTGTACGTTTACTCTCTACAAGGACTACAAAATTTACATTTTTCCCATACACAGGATACATCACTGGATTTCTCTTTTCTCATTATATAGATAGTGTTGGCACTAATCCTGGAGCTCATAATGAAAATGCCCGCGAATGGCTACAGAATCAGTTTCCTGTGAGTAGCAGACTAGTTAAGTACTAAGGGTATATAACTGGGGTGTGGGGCTGCGGCAGATGGATTGTTTCGACTATGGTTCCTCTCTACACCGCAACTGGCTCATTTATAGAATGTGAAACACCTGTGTTAACCTGTTGAGGGGGAGAAAAGATCAAGACAAAGTTTGTTCATATTTTTGGAACAAGGCACAAATTTTGTTTGTATTTTCACACAACGAATCATAAATGTATAAACTATATAGCATAAGGGCAAATAGGCCCATGTACCTTGGCAGCCTTGAAGAGCTCATCCAAAACTTCAGACAACGTTGGGTGTGCATGAACAGCAAACTTGATGTCCTGCAGCATACAAAAGGTTATGTGCAAATTCAAGAGTTTATCATTATGCAGAGAACACAAATGCAGAAATGCTACACAGCTAACAGAATGCATGACAAACTCACTTGCACATGGGTTCCAAGGGCAATGGCATTTGATGCCTCATGGATGAGATCAGCAGCATGCAAGCCCAAAATATGAACTCCAAGAATTTCTCCGGTGTCAGGACGATAAATCATCTGAGGCAAAATAGTACATGTATCGTCACTTTAAATTTAGAGGTTACGCCACGGATACAGGCTCCTTAGCATAGGTCTGGTTACTGTATCCACTGGAACTCTCTGTTGCATAAATTAGAACACAACAGGGTGGAAAACCAGTACTGTGTTACCTTAGCAAGTCCATCTCCTTCATTCTCTGCCAGAGCCTTTGTGTTAGCCTTAAAACTGGTCTTTACAACACTTATTTCAAATCCTTCCTTGTCAGCCTTCTCCCTAGCCTGTGGCTGCAAAAGCAGGAACAACTAAAAATTGGTTTGCTAGCCAACAAAAGCAAGAGTTGAAAACAAGTGATTTTATTGTATGCTTTAGATGCAACTAAGACATGCATTATGATCCAATTGAGGACAGCACATTTGCACCTATACTTAAGAAAGTGTACTAGTCAAATTAATTTTACCAAGCAGATTTCCACTATGTTGAACAGAGGATGTTAATATTGGAGAATGGTATCTCACTTACCTCTGTCAAGCCAACCATACTGATCTCAGGGTGAGTGAAACAGGCAGCTGGGATGCTTAGGTGATTTAAGATATTGTCCCTCCCACTGATTTGCTCCACGACTATATTCAGATGAACATTTGCTCGTATAATAACTATAGTGATCAGCATTGAGCATGCATAAAAGAAACAGGTGAGCACAACATTTACCTGAGATTCCTTGTGCGCTGGCTGCATGAGCAAGCATGAGCTTACCATTGGCATCTCCAATGCAATATAAATTAGGAACCTGCATACCGGTTGATGTTTATGTAGCAAACTTGAATGAAACGCCTACTATTGTTGTGAAGGAACAAAAGAGTAACAGTAACACATTACATATTTAGCATACCACATTGCCAGTTGCATCCATAACTTGCATCCGCTCATCAACAGGAACAAAACCTCGTTGTGTAACGACATTGATCTGCATAAAAGGGCATCTTTTGGATGCTATCATATTTAAAATTTGTGAATTCTGATAGCAACCATTTCCATGTACTTACATTTTCCAAGCCAAGTCCTTTAGTGAAGGGTGCCCTTCCAGTAGCTATGAGTGCTGCATCCACCTGGGGATGCAAAATCCAAGTTTCAAGATGAAAAGTATATCGTTTATGAAACCAGCAGAAATACTGTTTGTTTAATAAACATGATTACAATTTTAATTAATCATCAAAGGTCCACAGATATAAGCATTTTTTTAATACCTGGTCATCTAACAGTAAAAGCATCTGAGTTGCCAATAACATTGCAAGCATCATCCTACAACATACTGCCCATGTTATTCTGACATTTACTTTGGCCTAACAGTTTGACCTAGGTTGACACCGCTAATATCTGATATTCTGATAGTGGCGTCAACATGCAGCTATCTACTGGTGTAAACCATTCAACTAGGAGAACATAGTGATGCAAGTACCTAAAGATTAGAAGAAACCATCTACAGTAAGTACTGAAGGGGAAAAGGAAGAGTTCACACTATCATTTACCTCAAGTGTCTCCTTGTGTTCTTTTGTCTTAGCATCAATCAGCTCAATCAAAACAGGCTTACCATCCTTTGCTGGGGTAATCTAGAGACATGAATACTTTGAGGTATAATTATACAGTCATGCTGGAAGATTACACATCATTAAAAAAGCTTGAGTTGATCTTAACTTTACCTTGCTTGCGAAAACACCAGTGTGATAGTCAATTTTACGAGGATTAATAAGAATCCTCTGCGCCAATTTTGCAATCTCGGGATCAAACCCAGGCATTAATTGATCAAGAGCTTCAACAAAAGTAACCTGGTCGATCAAAAAATGTATAAATATAGATGAAACTTCATCTATTGACAGCAAAGTTCAATTGTAGATTAAGAGATAATGTAGATGTCCAGTTCATTCTCACATTGTAATTCTGAGTGTCAAATTAGTCACCACAGCTTGGAACTTAACATTACAATCCAGTTCGGGAAACAAAGAATAGACCCACTATATGTAAATTGGAGCAGATCCACTCCAGATTCCACTACATGGTTTTCACAAAGGCCCAGTGTGGCTAACCAAGAAGCCATCAATATTTAAATGCCCACAAACAAATATATAAAGAGAAGATCTGGCACAAAGAGTGGGAGAGGGAGGAGGGACAGAGGGACAGAGGGAGAAGAGCAAGGGAGAGGGCAAAGGGGCGGAGATGGCTCATGAGCCGGAAAAGCACACACCACATACTCTGTCAGCCACAACAGCTACCCCTAAGGTTAGCTAAAAAGTGTGCATGCATATCCTCTGGATTAGATTACTTAGAGGTTAAGATATATAGATTTGTTAGGACTGTGGCTTGCCTATTAACAGGGGATCCAGAACATCATTTGGAATCAAGCAAGAAACGAAGGAAAAGCCTTCTTCTTGCTTGGCTCTGGGTCCTCCTATCTCTTCCTTAACCCTAGCGAGACCATAACATACTCACCCCCACACAACTTTGCCTGCCCTGCCAATACTAGATTGCACTGCATCTGGCCCCCACTCAAGCACATCACCGAACCCTACATTTGGAGAATTGCACCATGTAGTTCTCCATCAAAGTGTGATGGAAAGATGGAGAGCGAGGGTCCATGGAAGATATGGATACCAGGTACTAGCAGGGATGCTTATTTGGTGACTAGGGAACACCATGACATGCATCACTTGATGTTCTGGGCTTTGCAAATATTTGGATATTTATATAGAATGATGTATTTATTAACATGACAATTTTATCTCAGGACTAAGTTGTAATCATTTTAAGTAACATCAGAAATAGAAAGCAGGCTTGTTGTTATGGCACATTTTATGAATAAAGTACTACAAATAAAAGAGGATTACTTAGGTCGACAATATGATGGTGATGTTATCTCAGGAATATATGTTTTAAATCATTTTTGCTCAACATCAGAAATACCATGCAGGCTTGTTATGGCTTGTTCCATGAGAACAATAAAGTACAACAGCATACAGGAAAGTGTCGCTTAGGTCACATCTGTATAATGCATAGAATGTACATTATTGCATCAACATTATGAACCAACAAAACAGAAATGAAAGCAAGTGTTTTGATGGTTAAACCGAAAAGAAAACAGGTAATGATGCAGAGACATCAAATGCCCTCCAATCACACTATACATGCGCTTAGCTCTTTTTTTTTCTTTACTACACTGCATGAGACCATGTTTCCATGATATATGATAGAGGAATATTAGCTAAAATAACTAACATGACTAGCACTCGCTAAGCATGTATTTAGGCAATAATGACTTGAATAATTGTCCATATACCTCACTTCCCAGAGCCGTGTATACATCGCTGAATTCAAGTCCAATGTAACCACTTCCAACAATAGCTATCCATTCAGGGACTGACTCAAGTTTTAGTGCATGATCACTAGTAAATACAGTTTTACCTGCATAAAACCATGGTGCAAGCTTTTAAAGGAATGCTACAATGAAATAGGAATGGCCAACAAATGCATTTCAGCTGTAGTACACAACATATATGATGAAGCATTGAAACTTCAAGGAGTGATTGTGCTACAACATACACTCAAATATCTGTCAAGATACAGTTAAAATAACAGGAGGACAGCTAGATCTGGTTTCTTATGTAGTTATTTCCAGGATGTAGTAGAACAAAAGAAAAGACCACTCAACACTCATATAACCATCCAAACAGTAAAAGTCAGTTCCTGTTTATGTTTCTACTTATTGACGGTTACAATATAACAGGCAGTGTCTAGGATCAACTTTTACATTTCTACAACTAGCTTAATACACATAGTCCTGTGATGATGGTAAACGAATAAACTACTATGCAAGCTTAATTAGATAGGAAAAATCAGAGAATAATAATATGTAAATATCTCAACCAAAGAAAGTGGCTTAAATGTGTGATGTCCAACACTCCTCGCAGCAAACTATATCTTGCAAAATATTGCATGAGTTAAAGGATAAAACATTTTTTATGATAATAGTAATATAGTTCAACCTTGTTTTGGAGACAAGGGCGTGAATATAATCTAAGCACCATCTGTGAGGGTGGTTGTGGGGGTTGTAGTTGCGCTAAAAAAAGTTGTGGGGGTTGTAAGGGCTCTTACCACTTCTTGCGTGTTTGAGAAAAAAATACGAACAACATAAATAATCTGAAGCATGATAGTTTGAACTTGGAACAGCGTTGTTTCTCATTTTATTAGGCCAAATGTATTGGGGACATGAAGTTAAAAAAAAAAAAAAACAGACATGAAGTTCCAAAGAAAACAGCAGCTACCATCTATTTCAATGCCCTTGGGGACGAAAGGAACAGATCCAGTGGCAATTATGATGTTTCTAGCAGTGATTTCATTTTCTGCGAAACCAACTTTCCCATATCTCACTTTTTGCTTCCCCTACAGATATCAGAAACAGAATATTTAATCACTACAAATGATACTCTACAACATTTGAAAGACTATATAGCAGACATAGCTCGACTCAATGTTTATACACAACATCTAATATAGCAGAATACAAATAATTTTCAGATTTAGCATAAATAATACCTAGAATATCTCAAAATTCCAATTCAGGTAGATGCACATTGTAGTATCCGAGTTGCAACAGAAATTGACCAACTTTAGTCATAGTAGTGCTAAACATATACTCCCACCGTTCCAAATTGTAAGTCATTTTGGCTTCTCTATGTACATAGCTTTTGCTATGCACCTAGATGTACACTATGACTAGATACATAGTAAAAGTTATGTATCTAGAAAAGCCAAAACAACTTACAATTTGGAATGGAGGGAGTACAAGTCTTTTAACAATTTGGAAAAGGCCTATATTTAGGATACAGATCCCTGCAATTTAGCCAAGCATGATCTGCTGATAGCTAAGAATAGCAATTGAAAAGTGAGGTCTTATACCTGGACAAGATGATGTGAACAATACTTCTTGCAACAAACATGACATTCTAATAGCAAAATATCTGATTTTAAGACAACCACAGGAAAGATGTAGATGACCCACCACAATGGTGCCAATACCAGTGAGTATATCCACACCCAGAGCTTTCATTGAATTAGTCAAGTTGCTGCGGATTTTAGACGCAAGATTATTTGCATGATCAGCAACAGCCTGCCTGTCATATCCTGGTGATGAGACCTATTACAACCATCACAAATGATTAGTAGGGTCAGGGAATGAATAACTTGATACAAAGGGAAAAGGTATACACATCGTAGTTAATGGTCTAAGAGAAAAGGTAAATTCTCGGTTGATTTCTTTTTGAAATCGAATGCAGTATAGGCCAACATATACTTGGAGCAAAGACAAGACATCATAAAATTTGAAAAGAACCAAAGATGAACATAATAAATCCAAAAGTGTAAGAACACTTGACTTAGATCATTTACAAACTGGAGTTACTATGACAAAAGCGCCCTTTAAATTTATTACGGTTCTTAAGCTAAGAAAAGAATCTACCAAAGCATTGTTAATTTGCTGATCAAATAGATGTGCCAACACCCAATAGTAAAACAACTAGCACAGCGCAGATTCATCATGATTGTACATTGAGATTCCTTGCATTTTGTAAATCATTGTTGATACATAAAAACACGCACAACAACCAGTAGTTCCATTATGAGAATATCACCTGTAGGCCCAGTGATTTCATGTGATGTTCATCTTGAAGTTCTCGCATCCTACCACTTACAGCAAGGAGAGCCTTTGACGGAACACAGCCTCTATTCACACAAGTTCCACCCACGATGTCTCCCTCAATTATGGCAGTTTTTAAACCCTGCATGAGACAATTTTTCGAAAATCATTAGTAACACTTATTGAATATGTGAAGTTCAATTGCTGGCAGCACAGATAAAGGTCCATGTCCAAAACACATGGAATTTTGTACCAATAATGAAATTCATTCACAGGATAATTCCCAAAAACCCAGCCATGATTGATAGGTTATATGCGCCTACTGCCATCCAGATAGTTAATCATAATTGTGAAAAGAGAAAGAAAACACATACTAAGTCGAGACTTCAGCAGCCATCAGAACTAGCAAAGCAATAATCCTACTTGAAAGGAAAAAGAAAAGATAGTATATCATAGTTTCCAATATATTCAAAGCAAACTCAATGCACTGGTTACAGTAACAGCATAATTTCAAAAAAGAAAATAAAAAAGAATAATCTATCTTTGTCCCTTCTTGAAGGCAATGCCAGAATATAAGCAATTCAAGTGGGGGGCCAAACACAAAGACTATATTGTTGCTATTTATTATGTCTGATTGACCAGAGTAATAAAAACAGAATATAATTAAGCAATACAACAAATGATACATGATAGAAAAAAAAGAGAGGAAGTTTTCATCACCCCTTTTAGCAGTATATTTTTAAGAAACTATGCCAATCCACTAGCCCCGATTAGTGAGAACCATACTACCAACAGAAATACTCAAATAATTAACATAGAGAGGCATAGAGAAAGCAAAATTATTAATCTTAATAGTATAAAATTTACTGTCACATGTACTTCTTAGTTGAGAAAAAAAAAACCAGTCCAGCAAATTCTAAGCAAGAGAAGTCATAAATTCAGAGGCACCTTGCAACTGCGTCTTCCATCTTCTCACTATTTTTTTATTGTTCAATATTGATATTTAACTACTACGGAGTATACAACATTATTATTATTTAAATAAACTACTGAAAGATCTTAAAATGATAAAGTTATAGAATCACCCAAAAAAGGTACAGAGAGATTTTCAATCAACTAAGCTCTAGCATCAGAACAGAAGCATGTGCTATCTTGCAACATTCCGGTTGAATTTTAGCAGACCTGCAACTCTTGCCTTACTAAAGATAGATTCCTAGCTAGCAAGCAACGCCTAAGACTATTCTACTCATTAACCTGGACTAATAGAAAGTACAAGCAAGCTTAGAGAGCTGGCGCCACCATCTCTCGATCTACATTTGACCAGATCATGACGACTGTGGCAGCAAAGCCCACTGCCCACCATACATTATTACACACCCCTAGCGAGACCTGCAGAACAGCGTGAGCGGAACCAACCTTCTCGACTGCGTGGAGGGCGGCGCCGTGGCCGCCGACGCCGGCTCCGATGATCACGATGTCGTAGTCGAACCCGCCGCTCGCGGCCGCGCCATTGCCAGCCGTCGCCGCAGCCACCACGCTCCGCCTAGCGGCCACCAACTGCAGCGTGGACCGGGGCGAGTGGAGCCGGAGGGCCTCGCGCCTGAGGCCGCAGAAGCGAAGCCTGGCAACCGGCCGGATCGTGTCGTACCCGTAGGCGGCGGCGCTGCTGGCGACCGCCGCCGAGGCCGCGAAGAGGGACATGACCGTGGGGTGCGTGGTGGCAGCGAGTGGAGATGGATTCTAGTGCTAGCGTGAGAGGCGGCGGGGGTCGAGGCGTGACAGAAGAAGACGAGGTGAAGTGAAATGGGCGGAGGCGGCGAGGGTGGACGAGGACGAGGGTGGTTTTTGGCGACGGGCGGAGGATTCGAAGCAGGGGATGGAAAGGGATGATGATGGTTTTGATGATGCAGGTGCCAGCTGGGCAGGCAATCAGGGTGGCCCGGAGATAATATTTTAATTTTTATACAACAAAATTGTAAAAAAATTGTAGTCTGAACGTATTGTCCATCTGTTTAAACATAAGTATATGACGCTATTTTTCTCAAAATTTGACTGACGATCTATCTATATACTCTCTCTGCGTTGCAATAGGAGAGGGGAAAAAACTCTATCATGAAAGTTCTTGACCGTACGTTTATAATGAAAGCAACATAAATTTTCATAAAAATATTATTTTTATTATTATTATGCTCTAACTTGCGTCTGTTATCATTTTATGCCAATACCCAAATCAGGATGTAAGGTTTTTTGAACATGTATTCTTGATAGATATTTTTCAAGAAAACTCTACAACTACAAGTCATACAAGATTAACATAGTCGGATTCTTCTTTTTATAACTAAATTTTTGTTGGAAAGTATTCAATATTGGACTTACTAAAATAGCTTGCTTCATCAGGGCCATGTTCATTTGCATGTTAATTATCATCAACAATTAATAGGTTCATGCTCGTATATCACTACAGGCTTAAAAGACACATGACATCATATGCTGTAAGGATTTCCATTCTATAAGGATTTCCAATAGTGATTCTATAAGGATTTCTAATAGTGATTCAAACATGGTTTTAAATAACCCGTTATAACTTGGACATAGTTTTTCACAAGGTCTACTGCTACGCTACTATCAATTTGTTCCACTATTGCAGCTAAACATCTTAGTTCTGCTAAACACCGCTTTTTAATTTAATCATGATATATTTTAGCACTGCTAATCCTAACCAAGGTAGATTTTTGTTCTATAGTCTAAAAGACTATAATCTATGTCTCTCCTTTCGGTTCTTTACTTAATAAATGATGTAATAAACCATTTAATATTTATAGAAGTGTTGACTATTGAATGTTGATAGAGACAACATGTTGATTGATATGATGAATGTTAAGTAATGTGCTTGGAAACATATTGTCCTAGATCTTGTACATGTATTTGACTATTTGTGTTCATAAAATTTTGTCTACTTAAATGTTTCCATGCACAACTAATTAAGAATTTTCAAATGAAATAGTTTCCACTATAGTCTGCTATAGCTTTCTATAGCTAAATGTCATAGACCGCAATTTAAAACATTCGATTCAAATGAAGAAAAAATGGAATATATATATTAATAGTAATTTATACACTGCATTGATTAAATGTACTCAATATGTTTACATCTTGTACCGTGAACATGAGATAAGTTTTCAAGTCAATAATTCAATAATTCATAAGTTGTTAGGATATTTTATTGTTGGATCACTAGCAACTAATTGTTTCAAAGATATATAAGGATGGGTTACCTCTAGTCACACAAAACAATATTTCCTCTGTTCCAAATTATAAGACGTTTTGGCTTTTCTAGATACATTTCTTTTACGATGTATCTAGATATAGTGTATATCTATGTACATAGTAAAATAAATGTATCTAGATAAACCAAAATATCTTATAATTTGAAACAGATGGAGCAGTATCTAATAATTGATTTGAGATACTCTCATTAGAACATTGTAATGTAGGTATAAATAATTTCTTCGGAGTCCTTCATCGTTGTTAGCAGGATCCTCATTTTAATGGTTTGTTGATGATTTGCAACCTTCTCCCTCTATTCCAAATTATAAATCGCTTTAACTTTTTTGGTACATAAATTTTGTTGTGTATCTAGACATATGTTACATATAAATATATAGTAAAATTGATGTACAAAAAGAAACAAAAGTGACTTATAATTTAAAGCGGAGGGAGTACAAATTATTTCAAAACTATATAAGGATCACGAGTGATAAAGTATATGTATTGACAAAATTTCATGTATTATCTTTATTTTTTTGGTTTAGGGAGTGTACATTGCTCTTTCTTTTTTATATATGATTCGCGACGCTTCCTGTTTATTTCTTCTCTTTTCTTGGGAGACATTGATGCATGGCATGCTTTGTCTCTTTCATTTCTAAGTATTCTAGGGTGAACTGACTTTTCAATGTAAACTACATGTATTTAGACCCACTATAAAGCTAAAGATGAGAAACCATAGTACTTGATGTGTGTGTATAATGATAGTGCTCAATATAGCATTACCTTTTGAAAGGATCTACAGCGCCTAGAGGGCGGGGTTGAATAGGCATATCTAAAAAATTCTTAACACAAACTTCAAGTACCGGATTACTACTTGTCGGAAGTTCTAAAGTTTGGGCCACAATGTCTGATATATATCAGAAGTCCAATGTAAACTATCAGAATTTCCGATGCCTAGGGTAAACTATGAAATAAAAGGAATATGAACTTCAATTTTAAATCTATGAATTACCACACTTTTTAGGAGGTAGATGAAGGTGCTATGACACTTCCTTGCTCTAGGAATACCACCTGTTTGTAGATCGGGACCACATCCTAGAAATAAGCTTGAGAAAGGAAGAGACAACAAAATATAGGTAATTCCAAGAAATCACAACAACAAAAACAACACAGGAGACGCATGGATTTAACATGAGGTACGGCCACACTAAAAGCATCTAGGCCCCTAATTTAGTTTTGGGGATTAGTGACGACACAATCATCGTGACTAACGCATGTTTTGCAGTGACATTACTTTAGTGAGGTCACAATGATGATTGGTCGATGGACAATCATGGATTTCATGCGCCTATTAATCGTATTCATTTTGGTTTTCAAAATATGAGCATTAAATATTAAGGATCGACTAGTTCTTAGTGGCAATGGTGTTGAGGGACACTTAGAGTAGTGATAGGATCTTTGTTTTTCCTTTGGCCGCACTATAAAGGAGGGTATGAATGGGTAGCTTGACTTAGTTAAGTCTAGTGAGTGGATGTGGTGTACACTCGTGAAAACTAGTGCTAGGTATCTTAGATAAAGCCCATGGATGATTGGAATCAAAACCCAACTCAAAGAGTGTTTGAATAGGATGACTTGGTGAAGCTCTGCATGGACCAGACCTATCTGGTGGGGCACCGAACCAGTGCACCAAACGTGCATAGTGCCTTGGTTTTCTAATGAAAATTTGGGTCGGTACATTGGTGTCCGATGTGCACCGGACATGTTGGGCTAGGCCCTTTTCATCATGCCCTCCTTGCCCCGCGTTGTCCAGGGGCGTATCTAATAATGCAAATGTTTTTTTTCTTTTTACCATGATCGTGTGCTCATTTGACGATTAGCCATAGGTATTCGCTGAGTTTTGCCGAGTGGTCGATGGATTTCAAAGGCGATGGGCCGTGAAAGAAGGCGGGAGTAAGGACGGCGGAGGGAGAAGCGAGGAGGTAGAGCCCCACTCTTCCACGTGAAGGAAGGCAACGAAAAGGCACCCATGACAATCAATTCCTGTGGCCCCCACTTGTTGGGTTGGTTGGGAACTTCTTAAGGTTGTTGTAGGTTTTGACCAAGATGACCTCGGTCCAACAGGAATATGTTTGGAATCTAGGTTAGGGGCAAGGGCACTGCGGTCTTGTGTAATATAAGAGAAGACTTATAAATAGCGCTCCAAAGCAACAACTGTTTATGGTGAAAATGTTATACTTTCACTACTCAGAACATCATTACTAGCCTCAGAATAAAAGGAAGATCAACATATCATGAGCATATTTTATCAAATAACAAGTTCCACATGTGAAAGGTCGTAATATGGCTAGAGGGGGGTGAATAGCCTATTTAAAAATCTACAAATCAACTAGAGCAATTTAATTAGTATGACAAATAGCGAAATGCAAATTTGCTCTAGCTCTACAAGGGTTGCAAGCCACCTATCCAACAATTCTAGTTGCAATGATTCCTAGGCACACAACTTGTAAAGTTACTACTCACTAAGAGCTCTCAATTTTGCTACTCTAAAAAGCTCCACTAGATGAACTTAAAAATAACAAAGCAAGCTCTCAATTCTAATTATACTAAAGAGCTTGCCACAACTAGTTTGCAGAATATGAGTGAGTAGGGTGATTATACCACCGTGTAGAGGAGTGAACCAATCACAAGGTGAATATTAAATCAATCACCGGAAGAATACCAAATGGCAAGAGACAACCAATTTTCTCCCGAGGTTCACGTGCTTGCCAATATGCTACGTCCCCGTTGTGTCGACCAACACTTGGTGGTTCGGCGGCTAAGAGATGTTGCACAAACCTCGTCCACAAAATTTGGACACCGCAAGAACCTACCCACAAGTGAGGTAACTCAATGACACGAGCAATCCACTAGAGTTATAAATCCCCTCACAATCACCGGAGATGGCCACGAACAATCACCGACTCGTGCCAATCCTCCACCGCTGCACCAAGCCGTCTAGGTGGTGGCAACCACCAAGAGCAACAAGTGAATTCCGCAGTGAAACACGAATACCAAGTGCCTCTAGATCCAATCACTCAAGTAATACACTTGGATTCTCTCCTAATCTCACAATGATGATGAATCAATGATGGAGATGAGTGGGAGGACTTTGGCTAAGCTCACAAGGTTGCTATGTCAATGCAAATGGCCAAGAGAGTGAGCTTGAGCCGGCCATGGGGCTTAAATAGAAGCCCCCTCGAAATAGAGCCGTTGGGCTCCTCACTGCACTAAACACGGGCCGACCGGATGCTCCGGTCATATTGACCGGACGCTGGACCTCAACGTCCGGTCGTGCGATGTGCGCCACATGTCATTGGCTTCAAACGCCGTTCGCCCAATTTCAACGGTCAAGTGATGACCGGACGCGTCAGTTAGAAAGTGACCGGACGCTGGAT